TTACTGAAGTCGTGTCATGAAGCTCACTCACTGTTGTTTGCGCATTAACCTAAATTTACTCCTGCTAACCCTGGCAGACGTTCAGGAGCAATTCTGACGTTAAATGTTTTTCTCAAACGCCTTAAAACCATTAGGAATAAAATGAGCTGTCTCAGTCAGGCTTTTCCACGTATGGATCTGTGGCAAACACTCATTATTATCAGAACATATGACGGTGCCGGCGCTCCATTAGCCAGGTGGCATTCATTAGGTTAATTGCTGCCATTTCTTCTTATTAATAGTTTGTGAAAGCGACATGCTTGGAAATGGTTCAGTCTTTGATTAAAGACATCCAATGCTTTCATTTTCTTATTTTGTGGTGTGTTTGGACAGAAGTGGAGGTTTGAATGTTTGACAAATGAATGTTGCACAGGTGAACTCTTTCATTCTGAATGGTCGGTGAGTTGTGAATCCAGATGAAGGTGCGCTCGTATTAATGCATCATGCGCGGCTGTCAGGAGGGTAATTATGGCCAGAGCGGCTGATTCCCAAAGCGCTCTTGTGTTTCCAGACCTTCTGTTTTATCGTGTTGGGAATGACGCGCTGGAGGCCATCAGCATTACGCTCTTTTATGACCTTCTATTAATGATGCTCTTTATTTGAACGCTGCTGAAACGTTTCTTTTGATTTTCCCTCAATTCAGGAAGATTATAGAATATGAAATAGTTTTTTGCTGTTCTGTGTTGACTAGATTAGGAGTGTGAATCCCTCTCAGTTCAATTCAGGAATGATGTTCAGAACGATTCTATCCGATTTACAATGAGATTCGATTTGGATTAATGATTTGATTCTATATTTTAAGTCCATTCATCGGATTACATAAAGGCTTATCCTGTTGTGTCTTCGGTAAGAGAAAGACTACTTTAGATTGTTTCTTGCACCAAGCAAATGATGCACATTTATGCATTTGACAGATGCTTTTATCCAAGGGCCGGTCACACTGACTTCCATTCATACGCATGCAAATGCAGGAGAGTGGAATTGCAAACTCATGTGAAGATGTTCATGTTTCATGTTTGGTGAACTCTGTCCTGCAAATTCCTATCATGTGAAGATGTGTGACCAATGAGAGATCAGCATGAGCTCTAACTAGCTGAATTAAAAGCACGCCGACTTTAAATCTGCACGATTGCAGCCTTGCAGTAAAGCGGTGTAGATTATGTATTTTTTACAATTTGGATGTATCTATATGTTGAATTATGTTTTTAAAAGCGTGATGTCAATAATAAGCCAATTATTGTGATCTCATAATGTTTGAATTTCATCTCTCTGTCTGAGTGATACATCCATCTGTCACGCACTGGAAAGTAACTTTTTTTTATAAATAAATGAATACTTTTATTGATCAAGGACGCATTAAATTGATCAAAAGTGTCAGTAAAGACATTTATAATGTTACAAAAGTTTTCTATTTCAAATAAATGCTGTTCTTTTGAACTTTCTGTTCATCTGTGAATCCTGAAAAATATAATGTATCACAGTTTCCACAGCAATATTGTGCAGCACGACTGTTTTCAACATTGATAATAATCAGAAATGTTTGTTGAGCAGCAAATCAGCATATTAGAATGATTTCTGAAGATCATGTGACACTGAAGACTGGAGTAATGATGCTGAAAATACAGCTGCGCATCACAGAAATACATTACAGTTTAAGAGAGATTCACAGAGAAAACAGCTGTTTTAAACTGTAAAAATATTTCACTGTTTTACTGTATTTTTGATCAAATAAATGCAGCCTTGGTGAGCAGAAGAGACTTTTTCAGAAACAGTATAAATGTTAGCACTCTTCTGAACGGCGGTGTGTGTTGTAGTGAACACGTGTGTGGCGTCCGCTGTCATGCGTTTGCAGAAGGATTCATGTGTTGATCGTGATTCAGATGCAGAGCCTCTCGAAGCTCTTTTTCATCTGATGATGTATGTACTCGTGGGAAAGCCGTTCAGACCTTAAACGCTGAGTCTAAACAAGCCCATAATTCAAAGTCCGGCCCATTGTTTGACACAGATCTGTTTTCACAGATATTAAGGGCAGTTTACCTCCTTTTAACTCAACAGGCTAAAGATGTAGCTATTAGGCCCTAATCACGATCATTATATGGAGTAATCCATCTGAAGCCTAACAGATGTGTGAGTGCGGGCCGCCGCTGGTCAAGGTCCGGTGTCGATGTGTTCATGTAATGGCTGTTATTTGGCCGGTCGTGACTGGAATGTTCTCTGATCTTTATGCTGTTTTTCTTCTAAGATTTAGTCCTAGCCAACCGCAGGCATGAACAACTTCACACATCACATCCTGTAAAGGATCAATAAAGTTTCTGTCTGTCCGTCCGTCCATCCATTAATAGTTAGTAAGGTAGTTGTTAAGTGTAGGTATTGGGTAGGATTAGGGATGTAGAATACGGTCATGTAGAATAAGGCATTCATATGTGCTTAATTGGTACTAATAAATGGCTAATATTCTAGTAATATGCATGCTAATAAGCAACTAGTTAAGAGACACTAAAATAAAGTGTTACCCATTTTCATTATATTTTTACTTGACCTGTTAGTGATGTCTTAAATAATGCATGTTTGAATAAAGTACGTCTTTGTCAGCTTCCATTTTCATTATTTTCAACAACAAATTGAAGTAGAAACCCACTGAAAAGTTGATGTGTGCCATTTAAATATTTGTACACAACTCATATGTTTTATGTATTAAAGATTATGTATTAAATAATTTTGTTTAATTAACTGATATTTCATTAAACTTATTTTGAGTTTCAGTTTTCAGCTAAATGAAAACTTTATTTTTGTTTATGTTCTTTGGTTAAAAAAATCAGTGCATCACTAAATAGATCTAATTATCTATTAGATTAGATTATGAAATGCATTTTTAAATTTACAGTCCAGTTGTATACAAAGACTAATATACTTCCATCTTGAAAATAATAATAATAATAATAATAATAATATTAACAAACCTGTCACTATTATTAGATCTAGTATTTTACTTCCATCTTGGAAATGATTATTATTATTATTATTATTATTAATGATTCTTTGACAGCAGAGTTTCAGTTGATAAAACAATACTTGAATGAACTATTTTAGATACAGTTCATATTTAATGCCCTAAATGTTGTGGCGATTTCCCCTGTGGTATCGGATATCAATATTTTTCAAGGTGTTGAAATTCTTAAGTGTATTTAATAGTGCTGTCAATCAATGAAAAAAACCCCAAAACTAATTAATCACATATTTTTATGAAATTAATCGCGATTAATCCCACCTAACATTAAAGTTTTTAAATATACTTTTATATTGCAATAATTTCACATTCAATCTTACAACATAAAGGCAGTATATTTTTAATATGTTTAATGGCATCTTTTTTAATGACTGAAAGCGATTATCACTGATACCAATACTGCTGATGCTACTCTGTCTCTTGTTTTTTCTTCTTCTAATATTTAACCATTGACTAGCCATTCAACATTACAGTATAATTGAGAGCTATCAATTTTAACATTTATTAGACTTTAAAAAATAACTTCTAATTTAAATGAACTTAAAACAATCTTCACATAAACCCATTATAATAAATGTCATATTTACCTGTGCCCTTCAGCAAGTACAAAATTAAATATACAGAAATTGATCAAATTATCAAACAAAAAATTCTAAATTAAATATAGATGAATCCTTAAAGCTACAGAAGCGATCGATTTGCGCTTTTTTCTTTTGTTCTTTGATGAACAGTCATCACAGCAGTTGGTTATGAGGTTATTTTGGCTGCGTTAAGAGCTAGGATCTGACATGCATCGTAGTTTCTCATTACTCTTTACCTTTTCTGACTCTCTGGCTCTTAAAGTCTCTGTAATGAGCTGAGGAGTTGAATCGGGTGTTAGATGAGGGAGACTGTGCTGCTGCTCCACAACAGTTTGGAAAACATCTGCATTTCAGAGCTGTTCTCAGAGCAGAGAAAGTTTCAGTGCTGAACTTTATTACACAATTAACAGTTATTATTATATAAGTCAATTAATAAAATCAATAAAAAGAGATGTCCTGTCAAATACAGTGAGTGAAGAATGTGGAACGGCACTTCATTCTGTCCAATCGGCAGTGAGACCGGCTCAGACGCTGAGTAAATTAAACAAAATGATTATTAATATTTGAAAAACTAGCAGCCAAATCAGAGCCATGTGGTGAAACCAACATGCAGAATAACACGAATCAGGAAATAATATCATATAAAACAGGAAATGATAATGATGGTGAATCAGATGTCTGTATATTAGTGACATTTGAGCAGATTAGTTCAGTCATCAGGGATATTTCATAGTTTGATCTGGATTTGATCTCCTCCAGGACTCAAGAGCTGAGCTGATGCCCTTCTGACAATTCTGATCGGCATTAAACAATTACATCAGTCTCAAATCTATTTCATTAAACTCATGTTTTGTGTCTTGATTTGATATGAGCGAGGAGAGAGAGAGGCGAGGAATATGGCTGGCTGCAGCTTTGATTTGAACCTGGACCTAAAATATCAGGCTAAAGTATGATTTTCAGGCCTGGACAGTCACCAAAATGAAGGAAAATAGACTTCATCTTAAACTATTTCAAACAGCATTTGTAGAATTATTTTATTTTAATTTTCTTTCAAATATTTTAATTTTATTATATATGTATAATATTTTTTACTCTTATATATTTTTATTTTTTATTATGAGCTCATGTTAAAATTGTAATCAAATATAGCACAAATATACTACAAATCAAATATAGTGTTTTGTAGTTGTGTGTGTATATATATATAATTTTTTGTAAGTCTGCGCTTCACACGTCGGGGCGTTCATCTGGAACAGCTTTGCCGAACTAGTTTCCGTGTTCCTGGAGATTACAGGCTTTGAAGCACTGCTCTCTCTTTGTCTGCGTGCAATGCACTCTGGTAATTAACTTTGTCCTTCTTTTATTTGTTCCAGTCTTCCTCCGTCCACTCTTCTGAGCATCTTCTCCCAGGAGTACCAGGTTAGAAGTTTTCTTCCTTTGTGCGGCCTGACAGCTGCCTAATTGAATGATGAATGTCCCCTTATTTCTGTGTAATTGAACTGCCAACTCTCTACGCACGCACACACACACACACACACATGCGCGCACACACACACACACACACACACACACACTCACTCGCCTGCGTCTCGGTGGACCTCTGCCAACCCGGCCCCTCCATCTGTCTAATAACATCGAGCCGCTGCTTGTTTGCCGGACCTGTAATAAATTATGCTAAACCATTATTATTCTGACAATAATAATTTCCCGGTGCAGCGCGGCTCGGTGTGCTAAATGTTTGCTGACTCGCGCTGCCGCGGCCGCTTTGGGCGTCTGACAGCCGATGAAGATCGATGGCCGCTGCTGCGGTGGCAGACGACTGCAGAGGCACAAAACAGAGCCATTCATCATCCGGCCGACAGCCGTCACTCACTCGCTGTGTCTCGCATTACTTTTGTAGTTTTTAAATAAGTTGTTTTTAAGCGCCGCTCTCGCTGTCCTCAGGTTAAGAAGCAGCTGAATTGCATTAGAAATGAAAGCCAGAGTGGTTGTAGTTTAGTAGAAGAGGAAATGAAAGCGCAGGGCCACCTGACCCCTCAGAGCCAGAGTGAACACTTCGACACAGCAATCTACATCTAATGCAGCGCAGGAGAGTCATTTCAGATCACGCCAGCGGCTTACAGCGCAACATAGGCATTATACTGGAAAATAACCTCACTACCGTTCAGAAGTTTATTTTTCGTGTTTCTGAAAGAAGTCTCTTCTGCTCACCAAGGCTGCTTCATTTGATCAAAAATACAGTAAAAATTGTGAAATATTATTACAATTTAAAACAGCTGTTTTCTATGTGAATATCTGTTAAACTGTAATTTATTTCTGATGCGCAGCTGTATTTTCAGCATCATTACTCCAGTCTTCAGTGTCACATGATCTTCAGAAATCATTCTAATATGCTGATTATTAGAAACATTTCTGATTATTATCAATGTTGAAAACAGTCATGCTGCACAATATTTTTGTGGAAACTGTGATGCATTTTATTTTTCAGGATTCACAGATGAATAGAAAGTTCAAAAGAACAGCATTTATTTGAAATAGAAATTTTATGTAACATTATAAATGTATTTACTGTCACTTTTGATCAATTTAATGCAACCCTGATGAATAAAAGTATTAACTTTTTGGGGGAAAAAATCCAAACTTTTCAGTGGTAGTGTAAATAAAATTGCTTGTTTTTTATTTTTGTAACTTGATGGACTCAAATCAAAATACCAGTTGTTTCATATCAAATGAATGAATCAGTCTGAATCAGTGTAAAAACAGATTCACATTATGAAACACTGAGTCCAATTAATATGATAAAACAGCTAGTTCTGATGTTCAGACGCATATCAATTTGATTCCAGATCAGCGTCTCAAGTTATAATACATATAAACTCTACTTTGTGCTTTGTCAAACAAACCCTTTGTGATATAAAGTTCATCCTCATCTAGTTTAGTTCAGGTCCTATTCTGTATTTTTACATCACTCCATGTTTTTCTTTTGCTCTCGCATGTAAATAACATCAAGTATTCCTGATAGACGTGCAGATATATTTAGTAGTTAAAGCAAAGTCACACAAAAAACACACACACACACACACACACACACTATATACAGTTCAACACGATGACTGATTAATAAACGCAGAGTGCAGTGATATAAAGCCAGATATAAAGGTTTCATTGGTTTAAGGTCCTGCTCCGATGTGCTGTTTGTTTCAGAAGAGGATGAAGCGCAGCATGGTGAGACATCACGCTCCTGATGTGGTCAAAGCATATTATCAGAGGTAAGAAACGCCTCACGCGTCAGCGCCAGCCCTCCACACATCACACGCTTCACCTTGACATGTCATCTTAAAAACGAGAACATCAGACAGCAGAATGCAGTGCGTAATGACCTCAGCTGATACAGACATCTACTCTTAAATATTCATGAAAATGTGTCTTCAGCTCATTCACAATACTTCAAAACCCATAAAAATCACTAATGCCAACAATTACTCAATAAACCAGTTGACAGTGAAACAAAGCATCTCCTGTCGCTCTGTGTGCGCGTTCTGTGTTTGTCAAATACATCAGTAAGTCATTCACTGTCCTTGCTTATTATGACTATTTTTCACATTTTGAAATAATAGTGCAGTGATAAAAAAATGTAATGATCAAACCGCATTTGAGCTGCATCTTTGTCTAGATCAGAGATGCTCAAACCAGGGCCAAACCTGTCCCATAATAAACTTTGATTTGGCCCGCCATGCCAAAATACAAAAAAAGAAAAAGAAATAAAAAAAAAAGAGAGAGGAGAAAAAAAGAAAAAGAAAACATGCCATTGAAGCATATCTTCAATTATAATTTATATTTTTGTTTTGATATTTTTATTTTATTTTTGCATTGAAATAAACAATATTATTTAATTTAATTAAAAATTATTTATATTTAAAAAAAATATACAAAAATATATATTATGTGGGGTAAAGCAGCGCTGTTTTATCATACTAGATACATTTAGTTCTGTTATAATGCTACTCTGTGCGGTCATCACCGGTCTATTAAAACGCACAACATATTAAAGCATCCTTAGTGTTTTTTACAAAACAAAACCGGAAATCGAGGGGTTATGAGGTCATTAGCAGGCGACACAATGACACTATAGACACGCTCCGTGACACTACGCTTATTTCTCTGGATTCTTCGAAACATTTGGGATAATGTAAGTACACAAGTCAGCAAAATATATAACACTGTTCTAGTGGTTTTTGGATATTTTAATAAAAAAATCTTCCATGTTGTGCCTTTAAAGCAGAAGGTTCTAAGGTCATGAGACGCTTTGTTCAGTGTGTCTAAACTTTTGTCTGGTGATGTAGATAGATCAGGTGGGACGCTGCTGTTTGTTATTCTCCCAGAAACCAGATGATCTGACTTTGACAAACACGCGGCGGATATGTGAGGGCTTTGTGGTTTCAGGTTAATGATGGGCCTCGTCTGCTTTGGCTTTCGGAGCCGTGGAGGCTGAATCCATCAGGGACGCTGACATGTCCTGGCTTGCTGTCCTCTCTTCTCTTTGTTGTTGTGTGTGGTAATGAAGGTACCGCAGCGAAGCCAAGACTCGTCCTACAGCCCCGCTTCTGCTGGAGCTCGCCAACCAGGTACCGAAATACACGCTTTCTTTCTCTGCTGCTTTATTATTCTTTAGCAGTGCTTTGCTCGGGTCTCCAGCAACATAATTAACCCAGAAGATTCAGAGATTCATTGGGAGTTTTCCCAGTCTGTTAGTACTTATAAAAATTGAGCTAATGGTTCGGCCTATTAACCAATGATTTCATGCAATTATCCTTCATGGAAAAATAGTTGAGTGTCATTATCATAAGTGACATTCACAAATGCGTCTGCGCTCTGTTATTGACACGGAGGTCAGTGGTTAATATCTCTGTTTAGGTGTGCTGTTTATATATTGAAGCTCTCTCTTTGCGTTGGAGTGGCCGTTCTGATTTCACCTTACTGCCTTTAAACATGTCCATGTTCAGAGCGCAGCGTTTGCTCACACTGATCTCAGTGATGACACCTCTTCCATTCATTACTGACCGAACCATGAAATCGGATCTGTTTTCTCCCAAATTCATTCATTTTTATTTGGTTTGTTTTGTTTTATTTTACAGATTCTATTTTTTATTTTTAATAATCAAAAGCATGTCTAGTCAGTTAAATTAGTACATTTTTTAAATAATTTGTGAACGTTTTAATGAAAATAGGGCCCTATTAAATGTATTTAATTATTAATTTTTATTATTATTATTTATCTTTTTTTTTGTATTCTGTGTTGTCTGATGTTTGCTGGATTTGACTTAATACAAATTTATTATAAAAAACTGGTAATTAAGTAAATGCATAAACTTAAAAAAATAATCAAATAGAAATGAAACAATGTCTTTTCTGTTTTGGCAAACAAGGTGCTGCACATCAGAGATTTACAGTTTAAAGGAGTCATGAGCTGGCTTTTTGTATTATTTTATACTGTTTTTATTATTACAACTTATGACGTTCGTGTGATTTTTACATTCAAAAACATCAAAATCAATAAGTAATAGGCTGTTTTCTACCCTATCCCCTTCTATCCCCATTCTATCTCTTATATATCAAAAGCTCAAGTAAAAGTTCATTTCTCAATTCATGACCCCTGTAAAGTAAACATGGACAAAACATTGTGACACTTTCTAAGAAACCTGCATTCATAATACATTATATAAGTTCATTTTAAGGCATTACAAAGCATGCATATTGTCATATGAAAAAAACGTACAAATATGTTATATTGTTCATGAATAGTTGTAACAACAGTTATAATACTCACCTGTTTTAAGAGTATGATTTATAGCACACCATGTAATACCCGCTTGATTACAGTTCCTGTAATTATTATGAGTTATGAGCCTTGATTTAGTTTCGATAGTGAATCAGCTGAACTGATGTACAGTTTGTTGTTGAAGGATCTGAGCGCTCTTCCTCATAAGTGTCTCATGACTCAGTTTAATGCGCTGCTTCACATTTACGCTGTGCTCTCATGCCGCTCCGCTCGCCGCTAATTGCTACAGTCATAGCGCTTTATGGCACAATATATAGCTATTGCCGGCTGAGCTGCACTATAAAGTCCAGTGTCTGTTATTTAACCTGATTAAAGAGTGATTAGAGCTTCATAAACGCTACTCACACGTTCCAGATGAGAGATCCGCTCACGATTAATCTGAAAATGTTCCTCAGTTCATCCACGATCAGGATGAGTTTGTTTCTTCATCAGAACTGGCACATTTCTCCAAACCTGATGAAGAAACAAACTCATCCTGCTCTAACAAGAAAATACGTTAACATCAAAAGCGTAACAAAGAAGCATGAACATATATTAAATGGATTGAAGTATATATTTTACTGCTATTTTTAGTTACATTATTTGGGGTTATTAAGAACTTGCTTGTTTCTATGAATAGGTGACAGAATGGGGCTTTTCTTTTTTTTAGTGAAAGGAGGGGATTAACCTTGCAACCTTAAGATCAAACTAAAAATCTGGTTTTATTTTACAATATAGAGTAGTTTTTGCTTAAAAATCTGACATAAAACTGAACATTTATGAAATGAAATATTAATTAAATTAACAATTTCAGAAAGAAAAAAAAACTTGGTAGCTCATCTGGGATTTAATGTTGTTTTGTGGTAATTTTAGTGTGTGTGTAAGTTTGAATATTTGAAAAGATATTTTGATTTATAATTTTTCATCTTACAGTAACAGTTGGGTTTAATGGTTGAGCTTGATTAGTTCATTCAGTACAAACTTGTGTACAAATGTAGAAAATTTCATTACACATTTCTAGCACACCATTTACTATACAAACGATATTTTTTTTCAAAATATAAAATATTGATTTCATAAAAGACACTGAAACAAAAAACTAATATACAAATGGAAAAATGTAAATAAAAAAACTGAAGTTCTTAATATTTGTATAACTCTTAGCGTATGTATTAAATACATTATACATTATGTATAATTATCTGCACTTACATAGACTCATTTTCGTTTTTTGGAGTAACAAATAATATCTTTCGAATTCAAATTTGATTTACTTCAGCTGTTACGCTGTGGAAAAAGTTATTGTGACTTTTTTGAGAAAAAAGTCAGAATTGTGAGATATGAACTTGCAATTCTAAGATCATATCAGTCTTTTTCCCCCCTCAATATTGGACTTTATAACTCGCAATTGCGAGTTTATATCATGCAGTTCTGAGAAAAAAAAGTCAGAATTGTGAGATAAAAAGTCGCAATAACCTTTTTGTATTTTTGGATTAATGTTAAAATAGACACATACAATTGACATGCTTTTTTAAGTGACTTTATTTTTTTAACTACAGTGAATTGAATATGAACTCATTACTTTGATTTAAAATGACAGTGTTATTGGATGCGGTCGAGCAGGTGAAGACTCTGAGGATCAGATCAAACGATTGCACCTCCAGTATCGGTCATCAGTGAATGCAGGTGTGTTGATCAGCACGTCTCTGTGTGTCTCTGTCAGGTGGACCTGTCTCCGGCTCTCCTGGCCCGTCTGATTGTGGAGTGTTTTCTGGAGGAGCGCGAGGCTTCAGTCGGTGAGTAGAGGAGTTTATTTCCTAATGAGAGACAGACAGACTCCTGCCAGCACTACCTGCGGCACATGAGTGACAATTAAGCGTCCTGCAGGCCACCCAGCACTTAACTGCTGCTTAGATCAGTGCTGTGTTATTTATAACCCTCCATTTATTCTGAGCCTCGTCCTCCTCACACTCTCACTGCATCAACACACACCTGACAGAGAGACGTGGAGCGCTTTTATCAGTATCAGGCATGTGCTGATCAATGGAGATAACTGATTAGTTAGTTTCAACATGTGTGAGGTTTTGCCATTTTCTGTTCTTGCTTAACTCCAGCATTCAGCAACCTTTTGTGATGGTATTTTGAGGTCTGTTTCAGACACACACACACACACACACACACACACACACACACTCTCTCTCTCTCACACACACTCACACACACACACTGTTTCTGTATAAACGCAACTGAAGATTCAGATCTATTGGTTTGATCTCTCTGTTCACCAACCCAGAGCTCTCTCACTATAACATGATTTTTCACTATTGCAAGTAAAACGAAGATTATTGAGGTGAGAAAATACTATTTCAGTTAATTATTTATTTTTACATTTTTCTACTTTTCTTTTTGAAACTTTCTAGCAGTTTATAAGTGAAAATTGTTTCGCAGTCAATCCAAATCTTTAATTTTGTAGTCGTTCATTGAATTTGAGGGACACACACACAGTTGACAGCTGTATAATCATATCCAAATATATTGTGCACAGTGTTATTTTAGTATAATTTAAATACTATTATAATTTTAGTAATGATTTAAATTCATTTTAAATTTTATGTTTTAATAAAAAAAAGATTAATGGAGTACTTTTTACAAGAAAATAATATTTATGTCTTATTTAAAATTCACTGTGTAAAGCATACAAATTTTATTTTAGATTTTTATGTTTAGTTATGGGGTAGATGCACAGGATGCGATTCACAAATAAATGCCAGGCAAAGTTGTGTTTGTAGAATTAAAAGATATTTGTGAATGTTTTTTTATTTGCAAATGTAATTTTTTTTTATTTGTGAATTTAATTCATGCTTGTGAAACTCTGAGATTTATTTGTGGGTCTCATTCCATTTATTTTGTGAATATGTTTGGTTTTTGTTAATCGCTTTACATTTGTTTGTAGATCATAATCTATTTATTTGGAATAATGCAACAATTCTACCCTCATACAACATGGGTCATTTATCAGTTATTGTCCGTAACATAATGAGTTATCTTATTGGTATCATGCAGAATTACATTATTGGTTCGTCACTGTCCAGCATTACAATATACAGAAAATTTGTGGAGTGGCGTGTCTTTGAGCACCAATACAGACTTTTTAGCAATATCAATATGTGATAATTATTGTTGTGATGGCCAAAATAATAATCATTTGTGTGCAAATTAGACATTTCCAACAAACTATATAGCAAACAAAATATTTTTTTTGTTTAAAATATGAAATATTCATTCCATAAATGAATACGAAAGCCAAAAAATAAATAAAAATAAATAAAATATGCAAAGAGAAAAAAGGTTTAACATTAATAGGGGTGATTAATTTTGTTGTGTTATGGCACATAACCATTGATGGCAAAAATAAGAAGTCAGAACTGTTTTGTCTAAATGCTTCAGGTGAAATTTGTCAGATATTATAATACAGGAGTAAAGATGTGTTTCTGTAGTTCTCAGCGCTTGGATGTGAGTAGAAGTGGACGACGCTTGTCCTTTGAGCATTCAGTGTGTAGAGACTCACACAGCGTCCGCCATCTTCCTCTCCGCTCACACACACACACACAGAGTAGAAGTACAGCGCATCAGAGACTCGTGTGCTGGATTTAATCAACAGAGAGATTCCAGTGCATGCACCCAACTCTTTCTCCGCGCAGTCGTATGTCAGTCAAGCGTGTGATTACTTTGGAGCACTGTTATCCACTGCGTGTCAAAACGCTCCTGCCATGTGTAGAACAAGGCAATACTTTGTGACGTAGACCACCCTCAGTCTGCTGGAAACTCATTATAAATCAGCACCATCTCCACAAGACTGCACTGACCTGATGCTTTGGCAAACACACAGCCTTATCGGTTTAGTCATGGCGGATCATCGCTCTGATAAAGCCAAGTGAAGCTCAAATGGAAACATTGCACATCACAACATATTCTGTAGACAATTGCGTATTACTTTTGTAACTATCATAAAAAACTGGCGTAATTAGGGAGAATATCAAATAATATTTCAGACTCTCAGACTTTCTAGTATTGATTCAATAAGTATAATGAGCTTTTGGACCCACTTTATGTGAAGTGTCTTGAACTACTGCGTACTAACATTTAAATCAATCATTTGATATAATGTACGAATTGTGCACATACATGTTATTACGTTGTACTTGTATAAAAAAATACCTGCAATCTGTAACTAATTTCTGTAGTTACAGTACATCTATAATTACACCTAAACATACCTCTTAAACCAACCCATTCCACTAAACATGTCCATAAACTCAGCCATATCCCACCTCAATAGCAGTGCTTGTACAGAATAAGTACATTAAGTTAAAGACACCCTATAAAGGGTGCTTTCTAATAGACACTGAGATCTGCATTACAGTGATTTGCAAGAAATACTGCATTGATGTTTATTTGTAAATGTTGTATGTTTTTAACGATTTTTTATTGAAGTCATACAAGATGAGCAATTAAAATCACATTATTGAGTCAGTCCGACCATACACTTTTTAGTTCCATGCATATGAAAGATCATTATCCTGCAGTGGATCATCTCAAGTCAAACTAGTTATTCAAACGAATATGGAAGCTGTTACAGTCTTCAAATGTCTTGATTTACTCTGAATTCATTTACTCATTCTTTGTTAATATTTATTTTATTTTTAAGTAACAACTGTTTTGTTATGGTTTTAGTTTTAGTTAACTGTAATAACCAGGGATGCTGGTTCTCGTAATAGCGCCTGGAGATTTGGTGTGGTGCTCACACTCACTGCACATAGTGTGACCCTTTAAACATAAAATAATTAATACTAGTATTATTGCACTTTTATTTATTTATTTTATACAAAATAATAAATAAAGTGTGATAAAATACAATAAAAATGCAATGCTAATCTTTACCTTTTCATCAGCAAATTGTTTTAAATCAGCAAGCTTTTATTTTGGCGGGTTGCTGGCAAGTAAGTGAATGCGCTGCCAGTTTTAGCACTGCCGAGTGAAACACTTCAGTGAATGAAATGTCACAGTTGTGCGTATTTGCTCTGAAACCGGCGGTGCATTGCCTTCTGTAGATGTATGCATTCAGTTTGAATGGAAATCTTCTACAGTATTACAGTTAACTGTGATCCTGCATTAACAGCTGTCAACAATGTCAGTGTGCAAAGAGTGGTCTGAACTTATTCTATTTTTTATTTTTTTTATTTTTATGTGCATCCCTGATAATAACCCTGGTTGTCCATGCATTGTCCATATCAGACAACAATTCAAAACTAGATTGAAAAGTTTGTAGACAAACTTTAAGTTGGCTTGAAAAAGCCTAGATGGAAAGTTTGAAAAAGTTTTAAAAGCTTGCAGTCTGAAAGTTTTCATCAGAAAAACAGATAGGTATAAAACACATTGCTAGGGTACCTGGGGTGGTTGCTAGGCTGTTTCTAGCTTTTTTGCTAACATGTTTTTAGCATGTTGCTAGCATGATTAGCATGCTAGCACAATTAGCATGTTACTAGCATGTTGCTAACATGATTAACATGTTACTAGCATGTTTTTAACATGGTTAGCATTTTGTTAGCATGATTAGCACGTTTCTAGCATGATTAGCATGTTACTAGCATGATTCTACCATGATTAGCATATTACTAGCATGATGCTAGCATGTTTCTAGCATGATTAGCAAGTTACTAGGATGTTGTTAACATTAGGGGTGGAACGGTTCGCGGAAAAAAATCAAACCGTACGGTTCTCCACACACGGTTCGGCACGCGCTAGGGCCGCTGTTCAACTTAAATCTGACGTAAAACAAACAGGGTTCGGCTAATATATGTTTCTGTTGATGGATGCGCATTCTGGCTTCCCAATACATTACAACAACAGTGATGAGAAAAAAAAAAAAGTCCTGCAGAGTTCAGCTCCAACCCTAATCAAACACACCTGAACAAGCTAATCAATGTCTTCAGGATTACTAAGGCTATAGGCAGGTGAGTTTTGTTTTCAGGGTTGGAGCTGAACTCTGCAGGACTGCGGCTCTCTAGGACCGAACTTGCC